AACAAGTGCCACGCTAGTAGTAACAGGTGCCTTACTAGTAGTAACAAGAAGCTAGTAGAAACAAGTGCCACGCTAGTAGTAACAGGTGCCTTACTAGTAGTAACAAGAAGCTAGTAGAAACAAGTGCCACGCTAGTAGTAACAGGTGCCTTACTAGTAGTAACAAGAAGCTACTAGTCTCTGTCGGTGACATACCCGACCACCTCAACACCGTCATTTCTTGTGAACGTCGAGAGCGCCAAGTGGCGTCGCCAGCATCGCCCACACGGGGAAGGGGAACGTCTCCGCCTCTTTCTTGGCCTCCCAATCGATCCCTTACAACCAAACTGAGGTCAAAGACATGGGCTTAGCAACGGAAGTAGGCAGCTTGGCTACGCATTGGCTTGGATGGAAGCATTTGAGAAAAAAAAACATATCCAGCTTGGCAGACTCGCTGCGTAGTGCTCTGCGAATTCGTAAGCTACCAAAGCCGGATCCCACAAGCACTCAGTAGTATAGTACCTAAATTCATTGAAAGGAATTTGAAGGTCCTCCTCAGTCTTGCAGGCAACAACATGGACTCCCTTCACGGCATGAAAAGTCTATAGGGGGGTGTGTCCGACAACTCAGAACTGTTTCTTCTTGAAAAATTGATGGTGCCTTGAATACTGAGCCCTGCGAGCCCTGCAACCTCACTGCGCCTTGCCCAGTTTCAGCTCCTCCCATTTTTCTTTGGCAGCCTTCAGTTCCTTAGCGGGCTGCAATCAACAAGTGCTAGCAAGTGCTAGTGCGCTTCAGATCCTTACAAACTTAGACGTGAAATGCACTGCGCATGTCTTGGAAAACCATAAAATAGCACATCTGTTGCTATCTTTACGGCACTGGCACCACTACCTCCTGTACTGTCCAATGGTTCTCTGACGCTGATCCCTTGTATGCAGCCAGAAATCAGTGTTTAAAGATGCCAAGTCGACCATGGCAGGAGGCGCAGGCTCAAAACGTCAAAGCCTGCTAAGATTCCTTTGGCTTCGATCGACTACGTAAAACGAGTGCTGTTCACAACTTACGGTAGCTCATCTTGGGACACAGAAATAACTAAAAATGAAAAACTGGAGAGACTAAGAATGAAAAACTGGAGAGCACCAAATGGTGTGTTTGCGAGGCTTGAACTCAGGCTGAGAACTTCAAGCCGCTTCTCCCGTGCACCTCTGAAGACGTGCTTGAGCAAATCAGTACCAAACATGCCAAGCACACATGATACTGAAGCGAATGGTTAGAGGAATCCGGGGGCGTGCTCTCTTCGACGCTTCGACCGACTCTCAATCCTTAAGAAGATCCAAGGTGGCTGCTTCGTTGGATTTCTGGGATAAATATGACAACTCTAAGTGGGCCATAGTGGGCCGTTTTTGGTGAGCAGAACTGACGATGGGGGATGAACCTAACGTTGGGCTAAGGTGCTTACTGCACGCTCATCAGATACCACAAAGGGTGTTGGTTCATTTTGACAGCAGGACGGTGGTCATGGAAGTCGAAATCCGCTAAGGAGTGCGCAACAACTTACCTGCTGAATGGACTAGCCCGAAAATAAATAGCACTCAAGCGGGCGACCGATGCCCACCCACTGACATGAATAAGCTTCAGTGTAGAGGAGGGCGTAGGGGTTGTAATGCAGCTTTTGGTGAGCCTGAGCGAATCAGCCTCTGGCGCAGATCTTGGTGACGGTAGCAATATTCAGAAGAGAACTTTGAAGGCTGAAGTGGGAACAGCAATTGGACATGGGTTTGTCGATCCTAAGAGAGAGGGATGTTCCGCGTACGCAAGCCTCGCTTCGTTCCTCGAAAGGGAATGGGGGTTAACTTCCCCCAACCAGGAAGTGGATAGTGTAAGGTAACGCAAGAGAATTCTGCGACGCAGGGGGGAGCCCTGGGAAGCGTTCCGGAATAAGATTATCTGGAGATATGAGATAGGGTTACTGTACATTGCGGGCAAAGCACCGTGTCTTCCGAGGTGTCCGGTGCGTTCTCAACTGCCCTTGAAAAGCCGAACTTTTTGAGTGTTCCTGTGCACACTTGGTGCAGAGCCGCTGTGGCTATGAGTTAAAAGCTCGCGTAGGCGGGAAGCAATAATCTGGACTGTAGTTGTGTGGCGCACAAGAAGTACTGGTACTCACAAACAGCTGTAGACCTGCAACACCGAGTGACCACACTGTAAGGGATAGACTCTGCCATCGGACAATGGCCGTGGACACGCCAGCTCAAGGCGCCAAAGCAAATGGGGATGCCTCGATTGCGTCTGCGGCCGACCAAGGACTGTTTGTCGCGCAAAAGAAGAAAGTGAATGTCCAATGTCCAGTCGAATTCTGTCCAAGTTTACATTTTGAGACGTTTTGTGGCTTTACGAAGCTCGGCCAGGCCGTGGAACCATGGGGAACCTGCTGGCCATGTCCGACCGCAGGACTGCACACTTCAACCCAGTGTGGCAAAACCCTTTACTGCGGACGTGGTAAAGCATCATATTCATACTTTTAAAACCTGCTCCTGAGCATTAAGCTAAGCAACATTTCTGTGAGCACTTCTGGCCCGACTAGGCAAAAGATCCAAACTCTTCACCTTGAAGGTTCAGAGCAACAAAAACGCCTTCACTGGCTCTCTTTGGAGCGAGAAGTCCTCCATGAAGAACTCTACACCAGGACAATCGTGAAATTCCAAAGCGCGCTGCCCAAGATCCCAACCTGCAAGAAATCTTAAAATGGCAAATACTTCTGCGCTGCAGGTGTCCCTGTGTGCTTTCCATGTTTGGAGGCGCTTCGTGAAAAGGTTAAAGGCCAATTACCTTTGACTGGTGATTGCTAAAGCAATCTTCGGCCCAGTGGGGCAAAGATTGAATTCAACAATACACCCCCCACCCATGCATGTCTCTGGTTTCCTTTCCGTCACAGATCTGCCTATGCCGCTGGAAGGATCAGAAATGGCGGCCACAAATGCTTGCAGCTCAGATTGCACGCTGGGAGTGTCCAACGAAATATATTCCAACTTCCGATGCTGGAGCTGCTGCTCCTGCACTGTGAGAAGGCTTTGGCCACACGGCCAGGGTTTGAAGGCCACAACCGAACGGGTGCGAACTAGGGGAAGGTTTGGAAGGCAATCCAGTCTAGACCAACGAAAACCAATGTCATCAGGCAAAGCTGAAGCAAGGCGTGTCCTGGTAGGTTGCCACGACCTGTGCAACAAATTCACTGCAGAAGCTTTCATGTCACGCGTATCGTCCCGATTTGGAACCATTTGCAACAAAAACATCAATCCAACCTTCTTCACAAAGCCTGCATGCTTCTCTTACCAACTTACCAAATCTCTCATCACCGCTGCTCAACAAAGGCAAATCCGTGAAGACCTCAAACTTTCCGCACCTTGAGGATATTGATCTGGATGACCAAAGGTTGTAAGGCGTGGACTACTGCGGCCACGGCGTGGCCGTAGAGCTGTTGCGCCAACGCGGCGCGGTTGGTACAATCAGCGCCAGCATGGGGCTTGTGGCGTTTGCTTCGAAAATCGAGCGCAGCGAAGCGCTGAAAGAGGCTTTCGTCCTCGCGGAACTCCGCGAGCGATGGAAGGACATCTCTGTGGCAGGGTTCGGTGCACATGTTCCGACCATTGTAAGTCTATTCCAAATCCAAAAGTCCTACCAGTAGTTTTATCGGTTTTCTGGCATCTACTAAAATGAACCAAACCTGCACCACGCACCAACAAATGTCTGGCCATGTTCTTGGGCGTCCCAAAGCTCCCTGAAACAAAATTATATCGCAAAACTGCCTAACAAGGCTGTCCCGGTCGCACTCCTTCGCGGCCACCTCCAAGCGTTCGGATGCGGCGAGCGTGGCCGACCAGGCTTCCAACAAGGCCTCGCTGGTCCGTTCCTCTGCGCGCATGGCACGTTGCCACACCTCGCGCAAAGCGGCAGCGTCGGCGCCTAGCGATGGGAAGCGGGAAGACGGATCGGCATGGTGCAGGTTTAGATCATTTGGCCTGCAAACTGCAAACAACCAGCGCAGGATAAAGATACAATGAATCAAATCGAAAAAAGATTCCGGGCCACCCTATGTGGATCACCTGGCTTTGCAAGATTTGATCGGCTGTCTATCACATTGTGTCAATCCCAGCAATGACATGCAATGACCAGAGTCTGCGTTTGTGCGATTTCACTCGAAAAGCTCAACCATGTTGCAAACTGCAACAGTGCAACAGCACCGGACAACAACAGGAACAGTGAGGTGAAGTCTGCGTGACGAGATAATGAAGAATTGCACGATCACATTCAGAAGAGCGTGGCAACGCCCGCGAAATCAAAAATCCAATATTGAATGTAAGCCTGAGAAGACACTCTCCCCATGGATTTGTGTTGTTTTGGTATGCGTTGCTCACACATTTGCTGGAAAACTGTGTTTCCACTGTTTTCCAGGGGAATCAGTGGCAAAGGCATGTTGAGGTGACTTTCCCTGCTCTCCCCAAACTGAATGACTAGGATTATGATGTACCTTACAGCCTAACTCTGAAATCTCAAGGATTCATAAAAAAAACAAAAAAAAACAAAACCACACTCACAAAGGATGACCAGGAAATGCAAAAGAAATGCATAAAAAAAGCAAAAAAAGGCAGCTGGTCAAAAAGAGTGCATATCAAAAAGCAAAAACATGCAAAAGGAAGCCAGAAAAAAAACAAAAAAGAAGCAGAACAGCAGTTCAAAAAAAACAAAAACAATGCAAAAAAAACACATGCACAACCAAATTTCACACACCACCTTTGTTGTGCGATCTTTTTGCAATTTTTTTGCATTGTTTGTGCGATTTTTTTTGCATTTTTTGTGCGTTTTTTGTGTTTTTTTGCGATTGTTTTGCGTTTTCTCAAGGAAACGCACAAAAAATGCCAAAAAACAAACAAAAAAAACAAATACAAAGCAAAAAAATGCAAAGGCAAAGACCAGAACGTTTTTGATCGCATTCGTTTTGTTTTTTGATTGCATTTTTTGCATTTTTTGTGCATTGTTTTTGCATTTTTTGTGCCTTTTGTGTGCATGCTTTTTTGCATTTTTTGTGCCTTTTTTGCATTGGTTTAGTGGACAAATGTTTTTTTTGCATTTTTTGCGTTTTTTTGCATTCCAAGGCATCCTTTGGTGACTTGTTTTTGCGTTTTCTGTGCATTTTTTTCGGGATCGGTTTTGCATTATGTTTGCATTGTTTATGCATTTTTTGTGTTTTGCTGTGTCATCAGAACTAGCTTTAGCGTACATCATAAGACTAGGAATTGAAAGCATTGATTCAAAGATGCAACTTCCCGCTTTTAGACTAACGTAATCTCTCGATTAAGGATACCCACCCATTAACTTGGCCTGCCTCGTTTCAGAACACTAACTAAAGGCCGTTCAATAAGCTTGTTGGCCGCCTGAAAAGATTGGCGCAATAGCCCCGCAAATTAGTTTGGTCAACCTTTCTCGGGACCAATTCTTTTTGAGTAACTTTAACGTCACCTTCTGCCAATCAATGAACATCCTTTCTTCGATTAAGTCTGTTTTTCCTGCTTGTCCATTGTTGGCTCATGCCTTTGGCAGTTTGCCCATTCAGTGAAATTCATTGGATAGGACACTGGCCGCAGTGGTGGATACGCGCCGCAGCAACTGTCCAGGTGAAGTCTTGTTGCTGATCACCCATGTTGCAGCCTCCTCCTCACCCAGCTCTGTTTCTCCAACACCTCCGACGCATCTCGGTGGTTCCTGGACCCATCTCATGATAAGAACCTCACTGCTCTTCACCTGGTTGTATAAACACCTATCCAAGAAATGATGTTTCAAGCTCCCAAAAGCGGGCATAAACCCTCTTGTCGTTACCCCTCACATTCCATTTACATAGTCGCCCACGCGGGGGGGAAAAGCAACTTCCCCACAGGCCCCTGTTGCCTTTTCAAACAGACTCATCCAAGTTCTTCCACCTTCCTTCCCTCTCCTTCCCCTTTCTGGAATCTTCAACCTCATAGGTCCTTCCCTTCATGTTCTGTTTCTCTCGATCCCCTCAGCTTCATCCAGCTCATCTCATTCTCCGCATTCCCCTCATCCTCCACATGCTCGCCATCCTTCTGACATGGTGCCCCACAGCACTCTCAATATGGCAGGTCATGGTATCCCACCTCATGCTCCATGGCCTCCAAGTGTTCCCAATCAACTATCCCATCATGTCGTGCCACCTATGGCACATAGCTTCCATTCCGATCATGAGCACTCCATGCTTCTTTTCAAATGGCTTGCCACACTTGTCTTGGGACTCCCTCCTCATGAGGACATGAAGAGGTTTAGTCTTTGGGACCCCTCCTCGTGAAGAGATTTAGTTTTTGGGGACCCCTCGCTATGAAAAGATTAGCGCGGGAAGAAATCGGCATCGGTTTCATCTGCGTAGATGAATGAACCCCTTGGTGACAAAAAACGTCTGAGAAATGTTCCATATCCAATCTCTGCCTTACTTTCCGTACACCCAGCAAACCCAGCCCAAAATAGTTCAAGTCGGCTCCCAGAACCACAGCAGCCAAGCACCAGCAGCCTCTCAAACACACCAGAACGCGCATCACCTCATTCCCACAAGAGCGAAGGCCACTCCATTCACGTCACGTCAAACTCGCAGAAAGCCTATCCCAAAGCACAAGTGAAGCAAATGCATAAGGCTGCGGATATATTTTTTGATTTTTTTTCGTTTCTTTAATTTTTTGTCGTGTTTCGTGGCAGGTGCAGGACTTTGTGGATGTTGAAGTGCAGTTTTCGTGGCAGGTGCAGTACTTTGTTGATGTTGAAGTGCAGATTTCGTGGCAGGTGCAGGACTTTGGCCTTGGAGTGCAGAGTTCGTGGCAGGCACAGTACTTTGTGGACCTTGAAGTGTAGATTTTGTGGCAGGTGCTAGATAGCTAGATAGACAGATAGAAAGATAGACAGATAAATGGATCGATAGATACATTAAGAAAGAAAGAAAGAATGCATGAAAGAAAGAAAGAAAGATAGAGAGGTAGGTAGGTAGGTAGGTAGATAGATAGATAGATAGATAGACCAGAGAAACAGTAAAGAGAAAGAGAACTAGCACAGGAGGCATATTTGCTTGGTTGTAAATTTTTGCACCGGGGAGTTCACCTTAAAATATTGATTTCGTGGCAGGCGCGGGTGTGGGAGATGAAGTGCAGATTTCGTTGCGCCGGGGGGGGTTGGGGGGGGGGGCCGCGCCCCCCCCCAGCAGGACACCAGATCCAAAGGTGAGCAGCTCGCAAAAGCCACAGAAGCCACGAAAGCCAAAAGCCACGGAAGCAACGAAAGCCACCAAAGCCAAAAGCTACAAAAGCCACAGAAGCCACGAAAGCCAAAAGCCACAGAAGCCAGAAGCCACGAAAAGCTAAAATAAGTCCAAAAATAAAACAAAAAACATCAAAAAAAATACCCCTCCAATGCATAATGCAAAGAAACATCCCTCCTCTAAGGTGTTATTGCACCAAAAATGCAGTTTCGCACACTGCGTGTGGAGAAACATCTGAAAACCCTGAATGCTGCAGCACCAAGCGATTGTCACGCTGTGGGCACCAAGCGATCCAAACCCTTCAACAAGTTCTGGTGAGGTTCCGCTTTAGGCAAAATGAATGACTCATGTGTATGTGACTGCAGACTGCATTTCCATGTTGTCTATTCAAGCTCAAACATGGATGTGCCCGCAGATTGAAACCTATCGTCGTTGGATCGAACCCAAGATCTCTTCGGCAACGTTCTTCTGCTGAATCAGTCAAAACACAAAACACCGTCCGTCCTGCACACTGAGAGAAGTTGTGGGCCAAGTTCACAGCGTAGTCAGTCTGGTCAAGGGCCTGGTGGGATCTTCTTGGACCAAGCCAATGGTCACCAAACATGGGTGTTGCGTGTCGGGTTTTGTCTTGTGGTCCAAGTGCTTTCATGCATGCTGTAGAAACACCCTACAAGCAAGTTATATTTGATCTTGCCACCAGGTTCAGCATTGTTCAAGACACACCGCGCCGAGGCGTAAGTCAGCAACGGCACCAACAGCACGTCACCAAATTAGAAACCACCAAATGGCTTGCACGTGTATGTACATGTGCATCACCTGCAACACTGTGACACCAGCATCATAGAAGGACCCTGCCACTGGCTTATCGTATGTCCACAAACAAGCAGTTCATCTGTGCAACTTGGAAATGTGCTTAGCTGTGTTTGAGAATTCCAAACACATGTAATCAGCATGGACACTGACCTTCAGGTGAAGCATAGTGAAGGCATTGTGCTTTTCATGGGCATGGAGGAAGGACTCCATGAGTGGTTCCAAGGTCGCTGCGAGCTCGGCTTGCGAGACCTCAAGTGGCAAAGCCTTTAAGCTGCTTGCATGGCCCATGCTCTGTCCCGGACTCAAAAGTTCGTGCAAACCCCGGGCAAGCTCACGATGGGCTGAGGCTCGGCTACCTGGAGAACGGAGAAAGGGACTACTAAAGGACTGTGCGGGCCCAAAAGTAACTAAGTAGTATTGAGTTTGACATACTTCTGGCAAGCGTACGACCCTTTTTTCAACTCTCACATGTATATATCGAATTATGCCAGCATAGACCCCAAACAGTGTCAGCATTGTTTTTAAGTGTCAACTCCTTGAATTCGACCGTTGGCAGGAGCGTCTGCAATTATATACCTATAGCCTCCAGCTGTTTAAGGAATGGCACGTGTAAAATCAATGATTGAAAACAACAGTTCCTGATGCCTGGGTCCCATGTTAAAAACGAAGGGAGATATGTAATGAGAACATCCGAGGTTGATATCAAATTTGAAACACTGCATCACTGTTGCATTCATAGCCACGCGAAAACATACCTGGACAAGGCGGTGGATAAAGAAAAAGCGGCGTGGCCAAGCAGCGGACAAGGCCAAGCAAGGCTGTGGTAAAAGGGCCGAAAACGTGGACAAGCAGGACAGACAGACCCGAACAAGGCCCGGCCAAGCAGACACAGACCCGGACAAGGCGGCGCGGCCAGAAGACAACAGCAGGACAACTGCAAGCACTGGAAGGACAAGAGGACGACGAGAGAGGGACACGAGGAGGACAAGAGAAGAAGGACAAGAGGGGGACACAGGCAGGACAACAGCAAGACAACTACGACCACCAGGAGGACAAGAGAGGACACAGCGTTGGCCAGCGCGGCCAGAGGACAACAGCAAGACAACTACGACCACCAGGAGGACAAGAGAGGACACAGCGTTGGCCAGCGCGGCCAGAGGACAACAGCAGGACAACTACGAGCAACCAGGAGGGCGAGGACAGGAGCAATTCCAATGGTGATATGCGCAAATGAATCGGAACGGAAAGCTGCAGAGCAGGGCAGACGATGTACGGAAAGATGTTCGGATGAGCCGTTGCGCATCACTGGAGCAAAAAGCTGCCGAGACCCCCAAAGCAACGGCGTCAAAATTCAGGTGTTGAGCGTTTTGACAGCATAAATGAAAGAAAATATGTACAGAGTACCATCTCACAAAACACTGGCCTGCGCGGTGAATTTGGAGTTCTTTTCAGAAAAAGAGGGCCAGTTGAGCCCCCGCAGGGATGACTTCAATTCGTGCCACCAAAAGTTCACTACCATTGCTAAAGAGGAAACAAGCAATCCTTATACCTCTACTATGTAGTCGAAGAAGGATAAGAAGGTGTCAACCAGAAATCTGCAAGTTGCCAGCTTCCAAAAATTGCAGTTGGCGAGTGCATGATCGACAAGGCGTGTAGGTCAAAGAGCAAATGTGAAATGTAAAACGGTCGTCTGGTCAAGCAACGTCTGGTCGTTGCGTGCAGCATGCGTGGCAATGTTCATGTCTACCAAGGCGTCTTTTTGCGTAGCTACTATAGTAGCGATGCCTTTTGTTACTAGTAGCATCCTTGTTACTAGTAGTAAGGCCAGGAGCTGCTAGTAGCGTCCTTGCTCCTAGTAGCGATGCCCTTTATTACTAGTAGCTTCTTGTTCTTTTGCGTAAAATTGGCGTAAAAGTGAGGGTGTGCCCATTGCCATTTGAAGTGTGCCCACACTATGGTAGCATACGTTCGCCGATGGTTTCACAGTCAGACTACAACGCACATATACGCACATATATAGCCTTTTTGCCTCTTGCCAATGGAAGACCTACGAACGTGAGGTTGTGGTCCAATGTTGTTGATATTTACCTACGTTAGCAGTGAGGTAATTGTTTTGTATTCTTGAGCAAACAGCAGACCTTTCAATCTTGAGTTTTGGGACAAGGAGGAACTCGAAGACACATGTGAGCCTTCCGAACTACAACTGCTGCTTGGAAATTATTGTGACTGCGCTTCTTGGCAGCAGCAATTTGAAGATGAAGTGCGAGTGCAAATCAATAAGGTGCTTTAACCTTAATTTCTTCTGTACAGGTCCAGTGGAGGAGCTGTCTTCTACGGTCACAGCACTCATTTTCACCTACTGGATTCGTACGCAGAACGTGCGGCGAGCCTAGGGTGCTAAAAACTATAGAAGTATATGGCCTCTAGACACGCTATGGTGGAAAACACGAACACGAAACAAATTGTCAAGAGCTTGAAGTCACCATGTGTTGTATTAGTTTCTGACAGGAAATCTTCATCCACACTGCCTTGGCGAGATCTTGGGGTCAGAAAGGAATCCTATTTCCAAGAAAATAACATCTGAAAAAGATGTTGCCTACGGCAAGAGCCTACAACAAGTGCCTATGGCCTAGGACAGACCACTGTGCCAAAATGCCCAGGGGCTAAGGGACATCCATGTCCCCAAGCAGAATGCCTACGAAAGCTTTCGATCATCATTTTTTATTCCCCAGATAGCTGCAAGCTATAGGGGTTCTTACTTCTCAATGGATGGGTTCCGGATTGCGGAAATTGGCTGCCGCTGCCGGCTTGTCTCCCAAGCTTGTCTCCCTTCATGATTTCGCTCTTGGCTGCCGCTGCCGTCTTGTCTCCCTTCATGACTTCGCTCTTGGCTGCCGCTGCTGCCTGGTCTCCCAAGCTTGTCTCCCTTCATGATTTCGCATGGTTTCGCTTTTGGCTGCCGCTGCCGCCTTGTCTCCCCAAGCTTGTCTCCCTTCATAACTTCGCTCTTGGCTGCCGCTGCCGCCTTGTTTGTTTGCCAAGCTTGTCTCCCTTCATGATTTCGCTTTTGGCTGCCGCTGCCGCCTTGTCTCCCAAGCTTGTCTCCCTTCATGATTTCGCTCTTGGCTGCTGCTGCCGCCTTGTTTCCCAAGCTTGTCTCCCTTCATGATTCTGCCGCTGCCGGCTTGTCTCCCAAGCTTGTCTCCCTTCATAACTTCGCTCTTGGCTGCCGCTGCCGGCTTGTCTCCCAAGCTTGTCTCCCTTCATGATTTCGCTCTTGGCTGCCGCTGCCGCCGTGTTTCCCAAGCTTGTTTTTGTTCCTGATTGCGCTTTTGGCTGCCGCTGCCGCCTTGTCATTTTCTTGCCTGCCTTTGACGCGGACGCTGTTATAAGATGATTTAGGTCTTGTTTACCTTTTCCATCCTTTTCCCGGCTTTGAGTGGGATGTCTCCCAAGCTTGTCTCCCGCTCTTGCCATGGTGTCCAACTTTTCTTGAAGTGCTATCTGGGGTCTATGCCGGTATAATGTTATATAATATATACTTAATTGATTAAGTTGTTTTGTTTATATGACTCCTTTAATCAGCTCACCAAAGTGGTTTGCATCCCAGTTTTGTATAGAGGAACTGGTAGTCCATAGCTTGTATAGATAGAATTGTCACCACCTTGCAATTGCGCCAGCTCAACAGCCAAGTAAAGCCGAGTTGCTCAAGACTTTCAACTTTCCTTTAGCTTGTCTTTGGGCCACAGAGGAGGTCAGCCGGTTCTGTCGAAGGCGTTCGCTTAAGCTCTGGTGGTAGTGGTGTAGCATCGCCTTCATCGATTTCACCCGGTGGGGCCAATGGTCTGTCGAAGCATTGAGGATGGATGCGGCAGTGATTCGGGACATCAGCTCATCTCCAGTCGCTTGGTGCCAAGCCAAAACCTCTCGATCCAACACGAGATCGTCGCCAGAGCTTGGAAAATCTCTCAGCTCCTGCATCAAATCCGGCAAGGAGAGTGTCTCATTAGTTTCGACCAAGTCGGATGGATTGAGCTTGGTTCCAATGGCCCACAGCAAACTGTTGGTCTGTGATTGCAGCAATCTTTTGATGTTGTTCATCAGCACGTCATGCGACTCTTGTAAGCTGTTCAACACCGCAGTTGTCCCGGAGCGCACAGCATCATCAATGCAAAACAGGTCACACATCACCTTGGAGAGACCATACTGCAAGGGAAGACAGTCTTTCCAAGAAGCATCAGCCAATGTCTGCAGATCTGTCCCGTAAACTCCTGACAATTTTGGGACAGTCCTCGGTATGAGAGCATGAAGCAGCCATATTGCAAAACAACAAGAGTCTTCAAGAACATCTTCAACACTAGTGCCAGACTTCTTTCCTATCACACTATCACAATCTATCACACCACCCCAAGAAGTCCCAGCCAAGCTTCTGTTTCACGACTTCTTTGCTCATGTTCTTCAGAGTTTGAGCACTTGGAGGCTTCAGAGGCTGAGTTTTAGACAGGGCACTGGCGATTTTTATGCTGTTTTCAGCAGCGTCGAAGGTATTGTAATCGAACAAGGTCTCCCAAGGACTCTCTCCTAAGGCACGAGGCACGAAGCAACATCTAAGACTCTCGCAATCGAAACCAAGCAGTTTCTGAAGGGTCAAGTCGAGCTCTTGTAGTTTCGCCAATAGCGGGAGGCGGCAGCAGGTTTCTTGAAAAAACACTAAAGGCACAAACCATCACAACGACGCGAATGCAAGAACTTCGTTGTTTCTTCAGGAGACGTGTTCATTCAACGCCTGGTCAGCGATGTCAAGAACGTTTTCTGGAAGATGAAAGAACAGCTCAAACCTATTGGCTTGCATAATGCTCTCCTGACGCGGACAATTTTCTTTTCATTGTAGAAGGGTGCCAAAGTTTTAGGACACACAAGGGCTTTGAGAGTTCATTCGGGCATTACGCAACAGAAAACAAACTGTTCAAAAAACAACGCTTCCAAAACGAGGGCCCAAGGCTCGAGTGTTTGTACCCTGCGCATTGTATTGGAGTTCTTTCTAGCGAAAAGGTATATAAATCGGGAGAATGTGATGGCCTTTCTCTTAAGCTGGCGTAAATTGTGAGTGGACGTCAGCCCAATGGTGGCGTCGCTTCCTGTAAGCAAAAGACTCTCAAAAACTCATTGTGGACTAGCAAAGAGACACGACCAAACAACCTTTGTGCATGGGAAGGACCTCATGAGGCAGGACGACTCTGACCAGTGTGCTTGTATCCAAATTGCGGGACCTAGCAAAAGAAACGGTCAGATTTCAAGATGGGTTTCTAACGGTGTCAAAAGGCAACAGAAAGAATAAGAACATCATTCGCCATGGCAAGCCACTTTCTCAAACCTATTGCCCTTATTCCATCTCCATCACTTATGATTGTGTGTGGACCAGGGTGGGCAACGCAGCGTGCGGATTATTCCCCGCGCGTTTTGGACAAGCAGTGAGTGGATAAAGTGTCATGCACGTCTTGGACAACAGCTTTGCCATTGAAGCAGGGGCGAGGTACCGTTCCTACATGTTCCCACGAGAGGCTGCGGCTATGAGAGAGAGAGAGAGAGATGCTCCCTGAAGGAACTGGACGAGAGAAGTTCACAAAACTACCTTGGTGGGCAACGGTTAACATGTCGTCAGCGACTAGGGTCATTTTCCCGGCCGGCGTCTAGTCGCAAGACTTGGTTTCCCTACTCAAAAATACGTTGGCGGACTGAACCTACCGGTGAGAGAGAAAACAAATGTTTTCGCAGCCAGTGCTGGCCCTGTTAAAGGCCCGGTGCAATTCCAATGGATTCAAATACCCGAGAGGCATGTTTTGCAACACTATTTATTGATTGAATATAAGGCGGAAGGTGAGTGATGAAATTGCGCGTGCGTTTGGAAGTCTTGTCTGTTGCATTGGCGAGACTATTGGCACATTCCACAGCCGTATCACAGTCAATCGAAGACTTCCAAAACTGGTCGTTTTCCAAGGAAACTTCAACAATGAACAGGTGCCACGCTAGTAGTAACAGGTGCCTTACTAGTAGTAACAAGAAGCTACTAGTACCAAGTGCCTTACTACTAGTAGCACCACGTTCGTCTGAATGGTCCCAACTCAAGGCGTCCATGTGCTGACTCAAAAAACCAGGGTTTACCCACTCCACAAGAACCACAAAACCAAAAACGGAACAAGAACCACAAAACCAAAAACGGAACAGCAAACGGAACTGCAAAAAAACGGAAGTGCGCAACGCAGAAGCAAAAGAAAACAAGTAAACTAGTAACTGCAAACCATGACACTGTAAACAGACAAAGATCATGCAGTTCTTGGAGGCCATCGCTATTGGGTTGGAGGTCATTGCTATTAGTAGCTCAAAAGAAAACGTGTGTAAATATAAATGAATTGAATTGTCTCATTTTTCTCGCTGTTCTAGCACTTAAAGGACAGCCGTGTGGCGAATTCGGGCCAAATTATGTAGGGCAAGTGAGAATCAATTCACTAAGTCTGGTGGCACCTACCTGACCTGCAAAAGGAACTCTGGTTCATCGAATGCTTCTATACTTCTTTTCTCAAGAAAGGGCTCAAAAGGTTCAGGCCAGAGTCCTAAAGGAACGGCTCACATTCATGAATAAGTTCTGCATCTCATTACTGAAATGATGTCTTCCCACTTCCCAAAACTGTTTTTCGTTGACGATATTCTGTATTTGTTGCAATAGGTTGTAATAGAATTAGCCCCCTCCCCACCCCCTACCCCCCCACTGACGATGAAGCAAAACACAGTTCGGGAGCCTCCATACACGCATCTGCTGATGAAAAATATCAAAAATCTGTCATTCTGCCATTGGGTCGTTAACAGCGCCAGTAGTACAAACAAGCGTCCAACAAGGTTAACATGATGTCAAGGTCTGTGAGTAAGCACACAGTCCGATTGGTTTCAGTCGCAAGACTTAATTGGTTTGGCAACCAAAAACAAGTCACGAAAGGCTACATGGTTACATGGTTTGCCTATTGACAATGCGTCAGCAAACTGAACATACCTAACACCGGTGGGAGGTGGGAGAGAAAACACATATTGTCAGTGTCACTATGCCATGCAAACAAGCGTCCAATATTCCGCGCTGTGCTACTGATGAAATTGTTTGCCGCACTGCCCGCTGCACGGCCCACGGCAGAAATGCCCCTACCCACAGCAGCAAAGCCCCTCCCGATAGGGGCAAATGCGCTCTTTAGCGCATCCTCAGAACATGGCCGCATCGCCAAAGAAACAATTTCAGCAGCTGGAAGCTTCCAGCAAAGGTGCCAAGCAAGACCCAAAATGTTGTTAAGGACAAGCATCCTTCAATATTTGTTTGATGCTGAAGATGTCCTCAAACCCCTCAAAGTCCCAGCCCTGCGGAGAGTGCGGACAACCACTTCGTTTTTTGCAAGCAGGAAGCCTTCATACTGCATGAATTTGCCAAACAACTCCCCAAGGAGAAATCAGAAATCAACGAGGACTAGGTTTGTATGTCCGTTATAAATACACATCGTCCGCTGTCGGCAACCCCCCAAAGAAGTCCTGACCAAAGGATCCGCTCATCTCCCGCTCAACTTGTTGCTCAACTTCTTGCTCTACGACTTCCTCCTCTTCCCTTCACAGGGGTTCGGTGGCCTCTTCCTCTAGGATCAGAACTCTCCCTTACAAAAGCTGGAGCTTTAGCAAACAATGCCTTTACCATCCTTTCCCCACAGACTTTGCGTTTTCTGCGGGCTCAATGGCCACACCTGTGGCATCCACACTGTCTGGGCGCCCGGCTGTTCGATTTCCTGCTGGGCTTCCTCTGCGCCCTTCGAGCCGGGCTGCGCGTAGCTGCCCCAAGGGATCATGCCGACGAGCGCAGCAGCCAGCTCAACACCCAAGGTGATCATCTCGAACCTCACACAAGAACTGGGAGGTGTTTTAACTGAATGTTGGGACACCAGCATGTGTGTGGATGAATGTTCACGCTCAAACGATCCCTTCCGGAAGTGGGTGTGACATTGCATGTTTCGGGCCTTTGATATTTGCACGAAAAAACGCTGGCAAATCTAAGTCTCGCAAAGCGCAACGCCCCATCCCAAATCAACAACAAAACGCTATAGATCCAAAAACAAACAAAATTCAAACCTAGATGTTCGCATCTCGCCGTGCCAACTTTGTCCAAAGGTCGTGCGTCACCATCTCTCTCAGCGACCGGCACAACATATAAAAATTGTTGGTTCCCCTGTAACCAACCTGCAGCCTTGGCACTTTCCTTTCTTTTCCTCAAGCATCTTCTGCATCTTCTGATTGTTTGCCACAGTTGCGCCACTCAAATATTCTCGGGTCTTACTCCGCTGACTGCATTGCCAGAAAGCCTGGTTGTGTGTTTCAGTTTACCCCGATGAGCATGCGTGTACTGTATAAATGTGCACAGTGTACAGCTTGTAATCACTGGACGCAACTCTAATCGTAAATTCATCCTTTTGGAACCTCGACCCACTTTGAGCGCCTCTCCTTGGAGGAGAGCACGGGGTTAGCCCGAAGCGTGCCCAGCCTTGCCCCGGTCGAGCCGCAAATCGCAGTGGTTACCACTCGTGCACACCAGGACGAATTCTGCGCTTAACACCCGGAATTGAATATCATACTAAATGGCCATAACAGCCCACGTGCTTTGGGCCCTTCGAAGCATGCCCCTTCCTGGCATACAATTGCACCGTCATTCCTTCTGGTTTGGTATCCATTTGGAACATTTTGTTTGGACCGTTGCACCAGCTATGTCAAGTAGTCTGAGGCATCTCCGGATTTGCCAATGCTCCCAGAGACTGGCAGTTGAGATTGTCAAGACGATTGCAAAGAGCATGGGTGGGAGCGAACCTTGTCGATGGTGCAATGTGGTAGGTTTGCGGGAACTCCTGATTCAGCGGCCAAGGAACAGGGCAACGAACCCTTGGAGGGCATCATTGTGGCGCTTGTGGGCGGTTTTCTGTTCACAACTAGCGCCTCGGCAGAACAGTCTTTATTTAAGGAAGTTGGGCACGCATGGACCTGCACCGCATAGAGGGTGCCAGGCCAGGCTGGGCACACACGGGCCTGCATTGTGTTTGTGTACGCTCTCATTGTCACACACACACACATGTCACATGTGTGAACAAGCGCGCGAGAGCACATATGCGAGAGCGCACACACACACATGAGACTAAGCAGATGACAGCGTACATAGGAGGGCACACCTGCGTGAGCAGACCGGTGAGAGCACGAGCACGGGCAAGAGTGTGCCAGGGAACGTAGGTGTCCGAAGCGGACAGCAGAAGGCTTACGCCAAAGTTATCTGCCAAGACTTGATGAAGTATTGAATTCCAAACGGGCTCATGCCTTTACGTGACCGTAGCAGTCAAAGCTGCCAGCCATTTTGGCATGGCGTACGTGGCCGCAGCGGGCGAAGCTTGTTTAAGGCTCGTTGGAGTCTGTCGGATGCTTGGGTGCACAGCGTACACACTTTAACGAGGCAGGTCTACCTAGGTCTTTGTAATGAGGTTTGGTTTCATCGGTTCCCGTCCCCTTCATCTGGTTCCTCCCTTTTTCATCCTTTCCCCCTTCACATACTTCTTTTTCCTCTTTCTTTTCATGTCTTCCCTTGCTTCATGTCCTGTCATCTCACTCCTTTCTTTCTCTTGCGCGCAACGGTCCGGGCCTTAGTTTGTACGGGCACATCCACTGTACACTTGGGCCACTTGGGTCTCAGGTCGCCCAGGTTCTGATAATGAGGTTTGGCTCACTGTTTGTCCCTGTGCATCTGGTTCCCTCTTCATCGCAACCACATACACCTTTGTCCGGTCTTGTCCTTTTTTCATGTCTTCATCTTTTTGTCCTTGGTTACGCGCACCTGTGCGCACACGTCTTAAGCTTAGTTTTCGCCTCCCCTCGGGGAGGCGTGTGTGTGTGTGTGTGCCCCTTGAAATTACAGGGATCCTGTCAGATTGTGATGTAGCTTTTTAACTTTAGCAGGGGGCAGCAGGGAGTCCACAGTTCTGCTGCCAACGAAGACAGCTGTGGATACTCCGTGAAGCAGATTAGGACGCCAATCTGTGCGCCTGCAATTTCACAAGTGTGATGTTCGGTAAATACTTCCTTCTCTAGTTGAGCAGGCTGTTTAGGTTCCTTTCAGGTCGGCAGATGTGCGCGTACGACGTCAACCTGTCGCGCGATCGTCGGAGCTTTTGGTTTGATGGCCTTTGAACACTGATGGACCTCCACTTCCTTTCGGGTTTCTTACCTGTACTCTTAGGAAATGGTTACCTAGGCTGGCGTGTGGCACCGCTGTCAAGTCAGTACGCATTTCTGTAAGTGTGTGTGTGTGTGTCACACCCCCTTCCCAAAGGTAACTTGTTCAGCACGGGCGTACGACTCGTCATACCCACCGTACACAATGAAGCTACGGTATGACGAGGGAAGGGTGGACTGATCATCCACCTGTCTTTAACTGTTGGTTGGTTCTTGTGGTCCCTTGGTTTGTTTCATCGTGGTTCATGTACTGATGTTGTCCCGAATTTTTTAATTCATTTTAAAGGGCTAATGCGTGGTAAAGGGCTAATGCGCGTGTTCAAACAATACCTGTTCCTGACCCATCGCCACGCCGTTCCGCAAGTCAAGTGTAAGTATTCACTTAAAAGTCTAATGCATTTTCTGAACACCACTGAAATTGATGTTCCTTCACCGGAACTTTGAGTCTAAGTGTGTGTAAGTGTGTGTGTGTGTGTCTGTCTCTCTGTGCGCGCTTGCGCCTTCACATGTGAGCTCTCACGCGCGCGCTCACAAATGCGCTCCTTTACGCGCATTCTCATATATGTTGTATGTCTCACATATGCGCGCTCCCATGTTTTTCTCGTATGTGTGCTCCCTCATACGCGCGCTCTCCCATGTGTGTGCTCTCATACGTGTGCTCTCATGTGTGTGTGTGTGCCCTAGGGCGTCTTCTCCTACTATTACTCAACACTGTTTGGGGCCTCTTGTTGGGCTAAGTTTTCGGTTTGGCGTTTCTCTGAGGCTTCCTGCTGGGCAGGATCGCCTGCAGTGTTTCGCAAAGCTGTGGCGCGGGGTGTCATTTTTTTCGCTGCCGCCTGGCATTGTGGGTTGGTTTGGGGCAAACAATTCTCTCGCTCTTCCTCGTTTGCAACCTTTGTGTAGGGAAAGCCGCTGAATATGATCCTTGAGTAGGGTTGGGCAGGCTCGGGAGCGGAATGTTCAATGTTCATTCCCTATTTTACAAAACTTTCACCTCAACATCCACCATTGTGGCGGAATCACAAAGGGCAATACACTGGGCACCCCTTGGATGGTTCTTTTACTTGGCTTCTCATTCGAAACGTTTGGAGGCGATTGTCCATGAGACGTTGGGATCTTGAGACCGGGTTTCATCGCGTTATCTCCTAAATTGTTGCAGGAAAAAGCGGGAAATCGGAAAGCTTGCAGATTCCCTGCCTCCCAAAACTAGACTCCAAATTTTACCTTTGGGCGGCCCTACGTTGGAACTCAGGCAGCTACAAATTAGGTTGCAATGTTTTTTTCCTGCTCCAACACTTTACAATTCATTGGCCCCCAAAGCTGGGGTTGGTCCTTCCTACTCTAAATTTTGTTGTTGGGTTGCCCAGAAAAAGGCACGCTCCAAGTTGGAATTGATCCTCCCCACCTTAAATTCTGCCCTCGAGTGCCCCACAAAAGGTGTACTACATTGGAATGATTCTGCCCAAACGAGAAACCCAAAGACCAGCAAAATCAACTAGGCGACAGGTGGCCCGAAAGCGCAAAATGGGAGACGACACAACATACACAACGTAACGATGACGACGATGCAGGACGATGGCGCTAATGAAGATGATAGTCACTTGCGGCAACTTCCACCATGCTTTTCGGCGACGGCGACGCAACTTCGCCACTTCCAGCTTACGATGTTCACTTACCACCAAACTGGCAATTTCTTCCGTTGCTTTCCACGACAGTTGGAAACGTCCACAATGTTCTTCACTTCACTGTGTTACACACAGCAACTCGACGCGCACGATCACAGCAGAAGGTTCACCAATTATGTATATATATATATATACACCTGAGAAGGGGGAGGACGAAAGCCAGCTGTTTTTCCGACGGCGGCTGCACAGCTGAGGTCGGGGATCGTCGCGGCAGCTGCATCCAGAGAAGGTTCGGGAGAAGGTACCGGGCCAGGTCCATGAGGAGGTTCTGGAGAAGGTTCGGGAGCAGGTTCCAAAGCAGACAAGGCTCCAGAGGAGGGTGTGGACAGCGAAGAGGTTATTGGGGACTTTCCTTGGGCTTATGCCACTGATCCGCCCAAAATATAACCATACGTCGCAGCTACACCTCTCTTCCCAGAGACATAGAGACACAGAACCAGAGAGACATAGAGACGCAGGGTCAAAAAAACAAAGACATAAAACACAGAGAAGTTGCTATCTACACGGGGTCCTTTTCTGGTAGCAACTTGTCACTACCATACTTGCCCCAGTACATCCAACCAGACTTCTCTGACAGGATGACTAGGAGGATGGCAGGAACATGCAGGAACTATATGTCTCAGCATTGGTGTCACCAACCGTGATCCAAAAATATGGCATAGATCCGTGACTATAACCAATCCTTAAACAGCAAGCCCTTCACCCCACCAAGTTGCTATCTACACGAGCCCCTTTTCTGATTCTGATAGTGACTTGTCGCTGCCAACCAACTACCAGTTCCATTTGGAAGCAATCATCAAGTACTTTTGCAACCAAAATCCGTCATAAAAATTGGGACAACATCTTTCGGACAAGTACTGTTGCAAGCAAAATCCGTCAAAAGAATTACGACAGAGTCTTTCGGACAAGTACTGTTGCGACCAAATTCCGTCACAAAGCCTCCGGCCACTATATAGACTAGGGTATGTTTTACCTGCTTTGCTGGTCCAGTCAATACCATCTATATAGCTTCTTTGATTGAAGTCCAACAACGAATGTAAATTGCCCGGTCGTGCATGCTTGGCCAGGACATGTCGATATCCTTGCTTTTGAGAGCTTGACTCAAGCAATGGGGTGCAGGATGTCCAAGGTTTTGGTGCGCGTGCTTTAGGTTCGTACCCAACTAGCCTCATACCTTTGCGTGCACGCTGACGTGTCTCAACGTTCCCAGCAGCCCGTCCGAGGCAAGAAAAGTGCTCACTGGAGCCCTTCGTGATGCTAATGATGCACTACTCGGCGTGCATTGCATCACCCGCATCACCAGACCCCCCAAATCCCATTTCCACTGCTTTTCTGACCCTCGCTTTGGAGCGCTCTCCCCAGGCAAGCTCCGGGTTCACCCTCTCAAATGGTGCCTTTTTGCGGCCTATACCCCCCCCCCACACCCCCTTAACTCACTTTGTTCGGTCTAAGAGCTCAAGCCTAGCCTATCGGCTGGCTTTCAAAATCAGTCTTTATTACTAAGAAATCCCCTGCCGAATTGCTGGCGTACCTTGAGATTTGATGTTATAGTTAAAAACGAAAAAACCAGGCTCCGAGGACAGTTTGCCCCACTATAATCAAGTATCAACCCCCTGCAGTGCTGGAAACCGGTTCTCTATAAAATCAAGTGCTTCAGGGTATGGGGTTCATGATCATGAAAAAATGATAGCAAAAAATGGGAAAGTCAATGATGCGTAGCCAAGGCTTTGATTCTATAGAGAAGTGTGGGGACATATGAAGGTTGAAATTGATTTCATAAAAATGTTGGACAAAAGTGGCCCAAGAGGTTGGTTTTGATGTTATGGAGAAGTGTGGGGACATATGAAGGTTGAAATAGGTTTTATCAAAATGTTGGACAAGTGGCCCAGGAGGTATGTTTCTATTTATAAACAAGTGTGGGGTCATATGAAGGTTGGAATTGACTTTATATTCTTTACAAATATGGCCCAAGAGGTTGGTTTTTGATTTTACAGAGAAGTGTGGGGCCATATGAAGGTTGAAATTGACTTTACATATATGTTGGATGAAGATGGAAGTGACCCAAAAGTTCTTTTGATTGATTTTATAGCGACATGTTTGGATACAGATGTTGGCCCATGTGTAAAGAATTATCTTATGAAATCAATTCTCAACCCTCTACTCCATATGCTTTCTATAGAATCAAATGTTAGGGCCTCAAAAAAGAACTGGTGACATGGCGTGCCATCTCTATAGAATCGAATGTTGGCACCCATCTTGAAACAATTGTCATTGTCTACAAAATCTGAGGGTCATTTTGGGCTCAAGCTCCCAGATTCTATAGAGGGTGTTCGGCAGGGAATACTATCCTGCTGTGTTGTGGAAGTTGCATCACTTGAATCGCTGCACCTGGATGATGGTGATGGTGATGGTGATGGTGATGATGATGATGATGATGATGATGATGATGGTTGATGATGGTTGTACAGTTGAAGTTGGCAGCCGTTCCTTACGGAGAACCTGTCGCAGGTGCTTTCGGGAAAAACACAACACAAACAAAAAGGAAAAGCCTTGCAAGGCAAAGTGACAAGCAAGAAACAACAACGGCGCGTGCAAATTGTAAAACACACAGCACAAACAGCAAGAAGCAAACACGCGACGTTTAAAAAAAAAAAAAGCAAAGAGGAAGAACAGCAGACACAAAGCAAAGAAGCAGAACATCAAAGAAGCTGAACATCGCAAAAAGCCAGGAAGCTGAACAGAAATAGAGAGCAGAGAAGAAGAAAAGCACTGAAGCAGAGAAGCGAAGAAGCACAAAAAAGCAGAAAAGCAAAGACACATACAAGGAAGAACGCAAAAGCGACAAAGCAGAAAGGCAAAGCATAAGGAATCCATCAAAAACTTCAAAACAGTTCAAAACTACCAAAAAGACATCCCGGAAAAAATGGTCCTCCCTTTGGAAGCACGCGCAACCAAAATTGCTTTCCAACATCACAAGTTCCAAAAGAAACCAAGGTTATAATCCCAAAGCCACAGGCCATCCAGTTGTGAAAGTGCAAAACCGTCCCACGCAACAACCAGTTGCAAGCATCCCGAACTCGGTGTCAAAGTTCGCGACAAACGCCGCCTGCTCCGTAATGCCCTTCAACAGCGGCTTCTTGGGCGATGGATCTAGGTCTGCAACTTTCGCTGTAAAAGTATGGTAGCACGGATCTTCGGGCGGAATAGATTTTGGGAAAGCATACGGGTTCTGCAGATAGAAGGGATCGCAGTACCTTACTTGACGGGTCCAAACCACTAAATGTGAATCTAAAAAGCATGCCGGCATCCAATGGCCAAGAGAGATACTCCTTGTAGTCTGCAGCCTTCGCCGAGAAAGCTTGGAGCACAGGCGGCTTCGGCTTCCGGCTTGGGAAAGGGGACTTCGGCTTTGGCTCCGTCCTTGGCAGCGGGGCCCACACCGTGCATTGCTTGCATCGAAAATTAAAGCCATTCGAAACGAATGAACTCAACATCCACGGGTGTTTCTTCTCACATCTTTCGAGGGACAAGTCAAAGGTAGAAAAAGGAGCACGCCAGCACCTGGGGTGTCCATCGATTGTTGAGGAGTCACCTTCTCCTTGCTTTTTTGAAAGACGAGTGAAACCGGAAAGGGACAAAGACGGAGAGAAGACAGAGGGGCAACAGGAGAGCTTGCCCTGCACCACGCAAACTCTCAATCACGCGCGTGCTCTGATATTGGAGACCTCCGTTGCTTTTACGGTGGCAAGAAAAGCAACGACCTGGTGATGGCATGAAATTGCGAGGCAGTCACTCTCTGCACACTGACTTCGGCAACTGGAAGGAACTGATTTGGAAATGGCCCTTTGGCATGGAGAGGGCAGGAGGTCCTGTCAACTGCTTCTCGCCGCATTCCTCTCGGACTTCCGGGTCGAAGTTTCTGTCTACCGCTCCTGAATGGAACTCACGGGTCAGGCACAGCAAAAACCCTTGGCACATGCTGATAAAGAAAGAAAAAGGAATGAAGGAGGAAGAAGAGTTCAAGAGTATTCAAGAGGTAATGACAGGTACAACCAGCCTCGTATGCAGGTTATGGCCTGCCTAGGGTGGGGTGATCTTCGGGACTTACATTTGGCATAAAATGTCTGAGTCCTGGAAGTGCGTACAGAATCATAGGTGTTCAGAACCCTAAAGCATTCTAAAGCCAGGACTACTACAAAATAGGGTTGCAGGGGTACCCTCTTGGGGTGCATTGTGCAAACATAATCAAACCTGAGGGGCGTTGAAACCGGTTGCAAACATGGTCACAAAGCATGATCTCAGGCTCAAAAGCACCGCTTTTCTACCATTTTGTCAGCCATCCATCATTTTCAGCACTCATTCCAAAACATAGGATCTCTACAACATGGGATTCCTGGGTCTCAGATTTCTTAGCCCACAAGGCTATGAAAAAAGATGACCACCACGCTTAATTGAAAAAAGATAGCTGGGCGGCGGCGTAAACTTTCTCAAAAGCATTAGTCAATTGGGGTGTCATTTCCAAATAGGATTGGAAAGCCAGAAGTAAATCAAAGCACCAACCAAATATAAGTTTAAGGTATATAAGCGTTGGGTTGTAAAGGATCTATGACCATTAAATCTGTAGAGGAAATGTGGATCTTTTTTGGAATTTGAGTTCCACAGCTGTTTTAACTGACTGCCAAAAGAGCTTGTGACAACACGATCGGTCACCCCGTGCAATCCTGGCTCACCCACTAAAATCAGCGATTCTACTGTTGCTTTTGCGCGCTCAAGTCTTCCGACCACCGAAGACTTGAAACCAAATTCGTCGGTCAGGTCATGGTCCAAGCGGCACATAGGCAGCAGTCAAAAGCTCGATGAAGGTCGCCGAAAAGTTGCCCCTCGAAGCATTCACCGCCACCGGCGATTCCTCGTGAGTCCAACCAAAAGGTACAGTGGGAAGAAATTTCTGGAGTGTTGAGAGATCCCAGATGTTCTTCAAAGTGACCGCAGAACTCAGCCACCCATATGCCCTCCCTCAAAGTTCCCTGTCAGCGCCCTAAAAAATGTAGATGCAAATTGGCAGGTCTGTCTCAAGCACCATCTTTGAAAAAGTGTTTCAACTGCTCATTGCAGCCTTGCATCGTCTTCCCCGGGAAGCGATGCCACTAGTTTCCCCTGTCCGAAGAGATCCCAGCGTGTCAAGAAGGGATCCCAGCTCAAGGTCCAATTCTCAGTTGCAAGGGAATTGTTCAAGAGCTGAGGATTTCCGAGACTCGGGATGAACGTCTTCACATAGCTCGGGGCACCAGTGGTATCCATGCCACTGGGGCAGTAGTAGCCCTCAAAGTCCTGTCCGACATCACGACCAAGGACCAACCCCCTTTTCAGGACCTAACCCTCTTTTAGGAAGAATCAACAAGCCAGCAGTCTCCCAATGGGAAGGGGTGGTGTTAATAAGTGTGTTCCGCTTTTTTGTTCGGACTTTTTCAATACAGGAACATTGGGGCTCATATTTCAGTTGTTGTTTAAAAAGCAGCTTTGATGTCCTGTTGTGACTCTCTGCTTGCGTGCTTGTTGAGGTTTCCTTTCTTGATCCTTAGTCAGATTTCGTGGCTGGCAGGAAATCGGAGAGGCTGCAGATTTTGTGGCACAAGTGAGGAGGGCGCAGCGCATCCCCCAAAGAACACATAAATTATTTTAACAAGCCACTCTGAACCTCTGGAAGCCAGTCAACAGTAGCCAAGAGAAGCTGCCGAAAGCAAGCAAAAACTATAACAGAAGCAAAGCCACAAAGAAGCTGTAAAGTCTTCCGAGCTGGCCCTTGCATCAACACAGCTCTGACCACAGCGGCCACTGCAAGCAGCACAGTCTTTCGAGCTGGACAAGAGCAAAAATTAACAAAAAAAATGCTACATAAAAGACACAAAAGCAAAACAAAACACCAAAAACAACAAAACTGCACAACAAAACATGAAACAGCAATAAAGTAACAAAAATGCTTCACCAAAGAATAAACCAACAAAGGCGAAGCAAACCGGGAAACACACATTATGTAAACCAACAACAACAACAACAACAACAACAACGACAACGACAACGACAACGACAACGACAACGACAACGACAACAACAAATCACCCAATGGGAAGCCAAAGAGGCAACTGATTAACTCACAGTTTCCGAACCTTCAGCATTCCTTTCAGCTTCGGTTAGACAAGGACCGTGGTTTGTGGTATCCACCGGTCCTGATAAGTCCGATGCCGCCGGGGCGTTGATGTCAAAGCCATGCCCATACGCCTGGCGATAGCCCCACGAGCCAAAAAATGTGGTTGGAAAATGATGAACATCGAATCAACATTGAATCAATAGCCCATGCCCTAGCATACCGGTAGCCTCCATACCTAGCATACCGAATAATTTCCCAAGGTATGGGCTATTGAATCAACCTGTTCTACCAATCACGAAACTTTTTGACTACTTTGTTCCAACCTCTGCAGCTTGCAGCAGCCAAGCTTGAACTGGTTGGAGTCGAAGGCCACACTCGCCACAATCCCTCCCCCTTGGCAAGAGGAGGCCGTTGGATTCTGGCAGGATGATAGCAGCGCTGTCGAACGGCAGAACAAGCGCAAGCCTGTTTTGTTTTGGGGGCCACCGTAGGACCCCTTCTCCAAACCCTTCACAGGAGTTCCAGGCAAGTTGTACCAGCCGCTCACTGCTGTACCATCAGGGCAACTCATGGAACCTGAGAAGGCATAGAAGACCTTTTCCTCAGGGGACCATTCTGACACGCCGAATCATCATACAAACCCTCTTGAGAAAGCTGGAGAGCCATTCAGGTTCGCAATGTGTTTGCGCATGCGGCTCCCTCCCAAAAAAGATAGCTTTCACGGGGACAGGGCGGAGTCAAAACTGAAAACCAATGGAAAAGCTTGTGCTCACTGGGCCAACTTGAGCTGACACTTTCGTTTGTTCCGTTCCTGCCAGAACTAGTGTGACCGTACCTGCTAGTGCTAGGCTTCCAGGGCTCTACCAGTGTGCAAACTCTACCAGCCTCTTCTCGTATTCTGCTAGTCTTTAAGCAAGAACTGTGCGTCTTCGTGTTCGACATATGTCATATGTCTGTTTTGATCAGTTTTGCCATGTATAGTTGCTGTGACCATCTGCTGCCGGTGGGGCCAACATCATTAACATGCCTCAACCACTCCTCCGAGGCGTCCACAAACAGACAATAGGGCATGGTCGAACTTCCGGATGCAACCACAGCCCCTGGTGGGCAAGTGAGACCCCAAGGGGCGCCGTTGGGCTGCAGGCTGATGAATCCTTAAAGAATCCAAGACCACGCTGGTGAAACTACTTCGTCTCAAGCAAAACCCTTCCTATACGAAGCAAAAACCGAGCGACGGTCAAAGCGTGTGATATTTGGACTCGTAAGGATTTGTTTTGCACGGGCACTTTCACAATGCTCACGCGCCTCAGGTTTTAAATACCTGACACCAAGGTATCTGTTTGGAGCTTACGCGGGATTACACTGGAGCGGCGGCTTACGCGCAGGTTGTTTGCAACTGCAAACGATGCCCGACTTTGCCTACGAAACGCTCTCGAAAACTTGTTGTGCGAGTTTTACGCGACCCAGTGTTTGGCCAACGCGAGCCAGGTTCTCTTTGACACAACTCTTCATCTCTTGACTCATGACTGATCTTTTGACCCTTGCTCAACCAACTGATGGAACATGATGGAACTACACTGATGGATTCTCCGTTTGAAAAAAATATATACGAGTCAGCCAGGACTCCCACGACCTCTGCAAACGCTGATGTTGGACCTGTGTAGTTGAAAGGCGGCAAGTGCGGATCCCCAAACTGTGTGGCATGATAGGCCAATCGAAGGATCTGGCTGAGCTGCTGCATCGTCATGCCCCCCTGGGCCGTGTTGACCGCAATGCTGGGGTCGACATGTCCAGTCGCTTCCATCCTCAAGTCTGGCTGCAACACTCTTCTGATAAGCTGCGCAATCAGAAATGAAATTCTCAATGTGACTTCGTCCGAGGGTCAGCACAGGACAACTTTTCTGAATGATCAAAGTCTGGAAATGGTCTGCAAACCTTGGCTATCTCAACAGTCAAGAGAGCCGAACAACTGATTGTTGACCCTGAAAGTGACGCCCAACAAACACCACGATGATAAGGACTGCTTGCATGAACCTTGCCGGCAAAAGCTCATTGTCAACAGTTGCAACCACGGAACAAGCTAGTTGATTGTGACAAATCACTTGCCTTCACTGCGATATTTTCGGCACATAAAGTTGAGCGGTTGCCATCCAGCATAGGCCCCTCTGCATGGCCTGAGCGACGGAGCAGTGCACTGCAGGTGCACCGAAGGCAAAGTGTTGTTCGTGATTTTCCCTGCTCAAACCAGATGTTCTTGGAAAATTCCCTATCCGAACTGCAACGCCCTGCCTGGCAAACAAGCGAAGAGGACCTTGCTGGCATCATAAGTGGTGACGTGGATTCCTGGAGCTCTTGTATAACCAGCCTTTTCCTTCACAGAAAGGGAAGCGAAGCCAGGAATCGACAGGTTGAGACCTTGGGCATCTGCATTGGGATCGGGATTCTCGTGCATGGCGACTGACAGAGAAGCTTCACAGCCTCCTAGTTCTGTTCACGTGGAGGCGTTTGAGTGAGCGCCGATCTTCTCCAAGCTCCAAGTTTCGGTCCAAACGTACACATCACTGTCGCTCATGCATTCCTCTGAATCAGCAAGGAAAAGGTTCACTTAAGGTCCAAACACTTGCAGGCAATGACTCGCCACAGAAAAACCATCCCGTGAACTCAACGGTGAACATGTTGTTTTTCAATGGGTCCCGGAATTAATTTTGGATGCGTTTATGTTTCCTATTTTTCTGCGGTTGTTTAATTCTCGTACTCCAATGGTGGCAGGCACAGCACTTTGGGAAGTTCTAAAAAATATGGCGGGCGAAGGGTTTTGTAAGCTGACTTACTCTCAAAAGCGTGATTGTTCATGTCTTGCACTAAATAAACCTATAAGGTCACTCTAAATTTTACCCTCGGGTTGCCCACACAAGGAATGCTGCTGGCATCTTCCTACGCTAAATTTTACCCTCGAGTTGCCCACAAAAGGGATGCTATGTTGCAGTGGCTTCTTCCTACTCCAAATCTTTCCCTCGGATGGCCCACAGAAGGAATGCTACAGTGCAATGGTTCCTTCCTACTCTACATTGCACCCTCGCTTGCCCACAAAAGGGATGCTGCCTCGGACCTACTCTAAATTTTACCCTCGGGTTGCCCACAAAAGGATTGCTACGTTGCAATGGTTCCTTCACGCTTCTTCCTACTCTAAAATTGACCCCCCGGTGGCCCACAAAAGGGACGCTGCCTTGGACTGGCATCTGTGTCCACATTGTAGGCGGACATGCGCGGGTTAGGCTAGTGGTTAGTAGCATGTGTTCTTGTCAGCTTGTGGAAAGATGTCATTGGTAGCTGGTCGGCACCAATGGCAAATGCCTGGTGAGGACTGGCAACCAGGTAGTGGTGGTGGTGGTGGTGGTAGTAGTAGTAGTGGTGGTAGTAGTAGTAGTAGTAGAAGAAGTGGTGGTAGTAGTAATAGTAGTAGTGGTCGTAGTCGTCGTCGTGGTCGTAGTCGTAGTAGTCGTAGTTGTATAGTCGTATAGTCGTAGCCATAGTAGTCGTGTAGTCGTAGTCGTATTCGTCGTCGTCGTCGTGGTAACTGTGGTAAAACTGGTAGTGGTGTGGTCGGAATGATGGAGGCACTGGTAATAGCAGTGGTAGCAGTAACTGTTAAAAAGCGGGAGCGGGTGCCGGGGAGGGCGCAGCGCGTCCCCCGCAATGCAAATCAAATATAGACAGCGCTGGGCTGATTCATTTCTTTTTAAAGATCGTATTGTTTGTTGATCCTGTTCTTTTTTGATCCTGATGCCCGCACAGAAAAGCAGGAAAAGCCAGAAAAGCAGAAGCAGTGCGAAGCAAGGAAAAGCAACACACGCACAGAAAGCGGGAAAAGCAGAGAAGCAAGGAAAAGCAACACACGCACAGAAAGCAGGAAAAGCAGAGAAACAGTGAGAAGCAAGGAAAAGCGACGCGCGCACAGAACAGCAGGAAAAGCCAGAGAAGCAGTGAGAAGCAAGGAAAAGCAAACAAGAAACAACATTACATACCCATCCTTTTCAATGCGTTTAGTACACGTTGGATCAAAGGTGGGTTTGGAGGCCAAGCATGAGCGCAATCCTTTTTCTGATTGCGGAAACACCTGTTGGTTCCATGGGCGTTGGCGTGACAAAGTCAACTGTGCAAGATGGATGGAGTTACTATTTATCACAAATATTGCACATATGTATGCGGCATGCCATACACATTTAATATATATAATATAATATATATATATATATGTACAAACGTAAAATGAAACTATACCCGCATAGACACCCAACAGTTTAGTCGGCGAGAATCGTTGTTGTTGTGGGCGGCCGCAGCCCCAGCCCCTGCTTCGGAAAGCAGCGTAAACTGCATGACAACAGAAAAAGGACCTGGTGAGGAGGACAGCAGAGGACAAAAGGGTGAGGGAAGGAAACCGAAATGAACACACCAAGAGGATGAAAGAAGGAGAGACAACATGACGAGGGCACACGTAGAGGAGAACAAGAGGAGAGCGCAAGCAGCAGGAAAACAAGGAGGACAAGACCTGGACACAGCGTTCAGGCGCGCACCCAGCCACTGTGCCCAACTCCTTTTTCCTCAGGCCTTTGGTGAAATACACACACAGGTGTGCAAACTTGTAAGCCACACTACAATATGCTTTGTTTTCATGGCAACTGTTTCATCCTTCATGACCTTATCTACCTTCTCTCCTTGGACCTAAAGCTATGACTGAAGTCTGTATCAGTCAATGAAAGACCACTTCCAGAAAATCTTGGTTGGATTATCTACCCAACCCTACCCGACAAACTTGCTTCAACTCCCAAAGATCCGCCCCCCATAGACCCCCTATTCCTAACTTGCAGAAATTTGCTCCTTGGTGATGAAAAAAGTTAGCGCGCAAGGATTTACTTGTTGGGACCCTCCTCATGGAGAGATTTGTCTTTGGGACCCCTCCCCATGAAAAGAACAGTCTTTGGGTTATGTCGTGAAGAGAGTTTTGCCGGCGGTGTGCCGCTGCTGCCTTGTCTCCCCACTCGGCCCCACTTGTCTCGTTACATGTCTCTTCAGTCGCAGTTTTGGTTTGCCGCTGCTGCCTATGCCCACTTGTCTCCTTACATGTTTCCCCAGTTGGTCGCCCGTGTGATCGCCGTGTGGTCTGCCGCTGTTACCTTGTCTCCTCACTTGTCTGCCTGTCTCCTGCGCCTGTTTGTCAAAGTGGCCGGCGTTTTGTTTGTCGCTGTCTCCTTGCATGTCCCCCGACTTGTCTGCCTGTCTGTTTGGCGCTGCCTTGTCTCCTTACTTGTTCCCCCACTTGTTTCTGCACTTGTTTTGTTTGATCAGCGTTTTTGTTGCCACTGTACCTTGTCTCCTGACTTGTTTCCCCGGAACAACTCTTGTCTTATTTGGTTGCAGCTACCAGGCGCTTGTGTCTGTAGAACTAGTTTGGCTTTAGGCCACTTGGCGCCACGAGTGGTACTTCAGTGCGACGCAATGGCCTTCAAGAAGGTCTCCAAGATTAGTCCGGAGAAGTTGAAATCCAAGGCGGGAAGTGGGGAGGCAAGGCAGTGGCTACACCGCAAATCAGCCACTGGAGGGCGTTGGCGAAAGTGACCTGGTAGCCGGTTGTAGTGAGGCGGCGGCTATTGGTGGTAGAGATCCCGAGGATAGGACAAGGCTGAATAGCCGATGAATAAACACATGCTGTAGGCAGTAAAACCGTCGAAGGTGTTTCCTGCTGCAGCATATGTAGTGATGGACGCAAATGCCCAGTCTCAGAAAGATCATTGTCTAATTTCCACCGTGCGAAAGCAATTCGGACGCAAAACAAAAATATGTTACAAGTAAGATCAAAAAATTGAGAAAATGAGATTTTCTTGGCGAGACAAATTCAGTGAGTACATTACAGTAACTCTGCAGCATAAATTCAGTATCAGTGGGTGAAACGCATTCAGAGTTGATTCGAGCTAGACAATTCTGCTAAATAAGCTGGTCCTCAAGAGGACATTCAGGAGATTCTCTCCTAAGTAGAAGTAAAGACTCAGTAACGGCATGCCTGTCCAGGATCACACATCTCGGTACTCATTAGCCAGTAATATCTAATGACAGCATACCACTGAAGCGCTGAAGACCTGAACCTAGCAATGGCCCTGAGCGCAACGGAAAGGCGAAAACTCCGCAACAATATAGTTTAAAACATCGAGAGGAAACTTTAAAAATTGCAGGCGCACGGAAGTGATTAGCTTCCGCTTCCATTTGCAACGGGTTTCCTTGCGCAGAGCTTTGCAAGTCCTCTCTGCCCTTCTGCAAGTGACTGCACAATGAAAACGAACCTAAAAGCAACCCTAACAGGCCTGAAAGAAGACCTAACAAACGAAGGAGAGCAAGGAGAGAAAAGAGGGGTGTGGGACGTAGAATTTGAATACATTAGCAGCGTGACATGTCATTCTGTGAATAGTCTCAGTAGGCCCTGCGGCATTCGAACAGCAATCTCAAGAAAGGACGAGGAACCATGAAGAACCGCCCGTAGGTTGGAGGTCAGCACAAGTAGGTTGGAGGCCGTCGTAATAGGTGTGACACGCTTGAAAAATGCAGATTGTAGAGTTTGTTGCACGACAATTGGGATGTGAGTGGTATCGAGAGTGCGCTGTTGTGGGTGGTGGATGTAGTGGCGGCCAATGTGTGAGCGCTGAATAGGGTTGCCTGTTGATCGAATTTCAATGGTGAGTGTAGTGGTCGCGTGTTTTAAGTGCTAGCGGTCGCAAACGCTGATGACTGCATCTACGAGTCGTTGTTGTGGAACGCTGTTCTTCAACACGCCCCCTGCTTGGGGCGGCAAAACCTAAGGCGCTAAACAGAATAAGACATGAGAAGAAGACGAGACAAGACGAGCGTGCGCGGTTGCAATGAAGGGGAGCCAAGTGAACAGGGACAAACATTAATCATACCTCTTTATCAAGACCTGGGCGACCTCAAACCTGGGTTAAATGTAGATGTGCGAGTACACACTAAGGGCCGGACCGATGCGTGCGCAAAACATGGAATAGAGTGAGATGACAGGACATGAAGGTGGAGAAGACATGAAACGAAAAGGGAAAGAAAGTGTGGGCAAAGGGGAAAAGATGAAAGGGCAACCAAGTGGAAGGGCCGGAAAACAATGAAGCCAACCTCATTAAAGCGGACCTGGGGGAATCTAGCCTGGTTTGAGTACGCGCGAACTATACCTAAGGTGGGGACAGGCCCCAACAAGCCTTGCGGCGGCTGCGGCGGCCTTCTCTGGGCATTCAGCCTGCTCTTGCCCGCTGCGGACTACTAGCCAAAGTGGCGGCCTCAAGCTCCATCAAAGCCATCAAGTCTTAACTTACCTTTGCGCTAAGGCTCCTTCTTCCGGACTCTCATGAAGGAGAGACACACTTGGAATATTGCGTATTAAGTCCTCAAATTCCAAAGGCGTCGAAAACCCGAACGGCGAGCACTTGTCTGCAGAACTCATTAGCACTCGTCAGGAGAGTGGAGTCACAGCTTGGTCAACAGTTCAAAAGGAACGTCGTCGGTGAGCGTCCCCACCGATATCAG